TATGGAAAGTGAATTTGCTCTGTAAATTTTCACCCAAATCACAACTTAAAAAAAAAGAAGGAAAGAAAGAAAAAACTATCTTTACTTATCTGAAAAGTTAATTTATTCAGAGTATCTCTTTCCCTAAAAATATCTGGGAACCAGCTTTCCTGTCTTATTGTCCAGTATCTCAGCTGTTTTATACAACTGTGTACTATTCGATCACCATGCCACTGCTCTTCTAAAAGTTTAATTAGTTCAAGGAAAGTGCAAGGCATGTGTTGTTCTCACCTCTGAATCCTAACACATTGACTAGGGCCTCTTTTAGCCTTTCTGGTTAGCAGTCAAATGCCTTAGGCACTACGCAACTGGAGCTCCCCCGTTACTTCATACAAGAATGTTTTGCTGCTGTCAAGCTCATCTTCTGTAGCCTGAGATACAATATGTAAGAAAGTTCTAGTCATTTCATGAAACCAAATAGTAGTTCAGCTTAACTAGTAAAATTGTCTGACTTGAGCACTGCGTTCTTTTAAGAACTATCTATGGGAGCTCTGGTGGTGTAGTGCCTAAGGCATTTGACCGCTAACCAGAAGGCTGGTGGTTCAAACCCATTGGCCACTCCTCGGAAGGAAGGTTGGGCAATCTACTTCCGTAGAGATACCACCTTAGAAATCCAAGGAGGGGTCGCTATGAGTCAGATTCCACTGGACAGCAGTGAATACATAGGATCAAAGTGACAACAGTAAGTCAAAAGATTAGATAAAAATCTTAGAGGGTTTATGTTAATGACAGAGGAAGGGCTCAGAAGAGGAAGGTGAGAATGGATGCACCACTACAAGAATGTAATTAGTGTTACTGAATGTGCATGTAGAAACTGTTGAGTTAGTGTATACTTTGCTGTTTATAAGAAACTGGTGGTGCAGTGCGTAAGGCATTTGACTGCTAAGCACAAGGTTAGTGGTTCAAACCCACCAGCTGCTTCGTGGAAGGACAATGAGGCAATGTACTTCCGTAAAGATTTACCGCCTTGGGAACCCAATGGGGGTTGCTATGAGTCAGAATCAACTCAGTGGCATTGGGTTTTGGGTTTTTTTGTTTTTGTTTTTGTTTTGCTGTTTATATTCTTAACAACAAAATTAAGTTAATTTTTTTTTAAAAAAAAAAGGATAGTCTCAGTCATGCTTCTCAGTGAATACCATTCAGGATCTGTTTCTATCAAAGAAGACCCATACTGGTGTTTTATAATTCACACTCATCAGAAGGATTTCTTCCATTAATTATAATCTGAGTTCTAAACAGAGGTATGGTTCTAATTATTCAGTACAGAATAACTAATTACCTGGGGAAAATAAATCTGTGCCATTTTGTGGAGACAAATGCTGGAGAGCTGACAGGGTATTAGAAAAAGTATTAAAGTAGACCCTTATAGAGAGTGGAAAATATATGTGTATACCTGTGGTCTATAATTGTTTCCTGGAGTGATATGAATAAAACATTCAGTTTTTATTTTTTAAAACAGCTTTATTAAGGTATAATTTATTTTCCATAAAATTCAACTCACTGTAAGTGTACAATTCAATTATTTCTAGTATGTTTCTATAGTTACATCATCACAAAGCATTTACTTTTTTAAAGTACATTTTCTAATTTCGAGTAAAATTATATTCATTCTTATTAATATTTCACTGTCCCCAACTTAATCATAACTCTTCCTTAAAATTTTCCCTTCGTATTCTGATGCATAGGTTGGGCAATCTACTTCCGCAGTGATCCCACCTCAGAAACCCAACGAGGGGCCGCTGTGAGTTGGATCCGACTCCGTGGCAGTGAGTTTGGTTTGGTTTGGTACTCTGATGCATATTGATCTCCCTGTCTCTGAAGTCTGTAACACTTGTCTGCCCCTAAGACAGACTTTAGATAGCAATTATCTAAAACTCTGTGTATGACTTAAGAGGTATCAATATCGTTCTCTTATATCCCTCATATTCTTTGTCATACTACTTGAAATTCTTTACTGCAGTGCCTATACCCCGACCTACCATTAGAAATATTTCCTTATTGAACATGGACTGTTAAGAGTATTGTATTAATGTTAAATTTTTCAAATTTGATAATCTAGTATTGTGATTATATAAGAAAATATATTGCTCCTAGGGAATAACTGATTATTTAGGAATAAAGGATTATGATGCTTGCAATTTATTCTAAAATGATTTGGTAAAGATTGTATTAATAATAATTATACACACACATTCATATGGGGTAGTGTGGAGGAGAAAAACTAAGCAAATGTGACAAAATGCTAACAATTGGTAAATTTAAGTGGGGTGTGTATGGGAGTTTATTGTACAAATGTGCAACTTTCTGTAAATTTGAAATGTTTTCAAAACAAAATAATAAAAAAGAAAATATATTCCTTTAGTTCAGTGGTTTTACATTAGAATCACTAGCTGTACATTAGAATCACTTGACAGCTTTTAGCAAATGCAAATGCCGGGCCCTACTAGCTAAAGATTCTGATTTAATTGGTTCAGGAATCTGAATTTTTTTTTTTAAAAGCCCCTGTGGTGGTTAAGTCTGTGTGTCAACTTGGCTGGGCCTGGTTGAGTGGCTGGGCACCTGAATGTAGTTATTCCCCATGATAAGCTTGGTAATAACTCCATGTTGGAATCTATTGGAGCAGCTGAGTGGCTGCTTTGGGTATGTGATCTGCTTCCCGTATATAAGAAACAGCTTTGGGAATGGTCTCCAGCATATGGCAGGCTTGGACCCTGCATGTAGCCATGTCGTTGTTCAGCAGCCTGCCATGCTTTGCCAACCTTGGGACTTACAATGGACTTGAATTAATGGCCTGCCATGTGGTTTGGTAACATTGGGACTGCCGTTTTATTTGTCGACCTTGGGCTTGTTAGCCTCAGCAGCCACTAGCTGCCTGAGTGAAGAGATGCCTCTAGTTTCAGGGGGCCAGGAGCAACAGGCAGAGCTGAAGCCCAAGGCTGAGGGGCTTTCACTCAGCCTCTAGAGCCTGGCCCTAGGAACTTGGACTTCTAGCCTCCTGAACTGTAAGAGGATAAACTCCTGTTTGTTAAAGCCATCCCATTTGTGGTATATTCTTGTCAGAGCAGCACTAGGTAACCAGAACAGCCCCTTGGATGAACTTACTATGCAGCCAGGGTTAAGAACCATTGTGTCATGAGAATAATATAGCTTACCTATCATTGTACCTTAGAGTGAATTAATTTTTAGTCAGATTATTTTCCTCCCCCATTGATTACCACCCCCTTTATGCTTCTTTTATATCCTTTAAAACATCTAGCAAATTTCCAGGCACAAAACAGGCCCAATTAAATTCTAATTGAAATGAATTCATTAAAGAACAAAAATAATTTCTGAAATGTAGCCCTAATCATGTCATGGCTGTTTCCCCTATGCAGCTATAAATGCATGCATATTGTATGTACCAAGGTACATGCATATTACTTGTAGTGTTTGCATTATTTTTCCAATTTATAATAGATGGAATAAGGGGTATTTGCTCTGCCAAAGATCTCGGCTAATTGTAATGTTGAGGACCAGTGCTGCAGGTTCTTAAAAAAGAAAAAAAGCTGTCAGATATAGAGAATGAAATCCAGCAAAAGGGGACTTCCAAGGAAAGGAAATATGAATAGTTCTGAGATAGCCTCTGAGATCAGAGATGCTAAGAACCTTAGCAAAAAGGAAAAAGCTGGAATATGTGTATATTGGAGAAGACAAAATGAAAAATACTAATATTTAAATTATAAGGAAGAATGATTGAAAAAAGGACATAGTCAAAAATAGATGGAATGCATCAAAAAAACATTGTCAAGAGAGTTGTTGTAGAGTAAAAACCCATAAAATGAAAGACTTGAAAATTATGTATGTAGTACAATTTTAATATCGAGAATATAGAAAGTTCTCTTACAATTCAACAACAAAAGACAACCCAATTTTAAAAAGGCCAAAGGACTTTAATAGACATTTCTCCAAAGAACATATACAAATGGCCAATAAGCACATGAAAAGATGCTGAACATCATTGTTGTTATTGTTGTTGTTATGTGCCATCGAGTCAGACCCGACTCATAGCGACCCCTCCTTGGGTTTCCGAGGCAGCATCACTACGGAAGTAGATTGCCCCATCTTCCTTCTGAGGAGCGGCTGGTGGGTTTGAACCGCCAGCCTTCTGGTTAGCAGTCAAGTGCCTTAGGCACTAATGCTACCAGAGCTCCCTGAACATCATTAGTCATTCGGAAAATGCAAATCAAATCCACTATGAGATACCATTTCACCCACCAGCCACTCCTCGGAAGGAAGGTTGGGCAATCCTACTTCCGTAGTGATACTGCCTCGGAAACCCAAGGAGGGGTCGCTATGAGTCGGGTTTGACTCGACGGCACATAACAACAACAACAACAACAGGGTGGCTATTATCAGGAAAATGGAAAATAATAAATGTTGGTGAGGATGTGGAGAAATTGAAACTTCATGTGTTACTGGTTGTTGTTGTTAGAAGCTGTCAAGTTGGCTCCAACTTATAGTAACCCTGTGTACAACAGAATGAAACACTGTCTGATCATGCGCCATCCTCACAATCCTTGCTATACTTGAGCTCATCATTGCAGCTAGCTGTGTCAATCCATTTTACATTGCTAGTAGAAATGTAAAATGATGAAGCCACTGTGGAAAACAGTTGGGCTGTTCTTCAAAAAGTTAAACATAGAATTACCATATGGCCCAGCAATTCTACTCCTATACTCAAAAGAATTGAAAACAGGAATTCAAACAGATACTTCTACACTGATGTTCATTGTATCACCATCCAAAGTAGTCAAAAGATGGAAATAAACCAAGTGTCAATAACAGGTGAATGGATAAACAAAAGGTGGTATATACATTCAATGGAATATTACTCAGCCTTAAAAAGAACTAAAGTTCCAGTAAATGATACAACATGGATGAACCTTGAAAATATTATGCTAAGTGAAGTAAGCCAGACACAAAAGGACAGATATTGTATGATTCCTATCTCTAGAATAGACAAATTCATAGAGATAGAAAGTAGATTAGAGGTTACCAAGGGCTGGGACGGTGGTAGAATGTGAAGTTATTGCTTAATGAGTATTGAGTTTCTGTTTGGGGTGGTGAAAAAAGAATAAAAACAAATAGTGACAATGATTGCCCAACATTATGAATGTAATTAATGCTACCGAGTTGTACACTTAAAATGGTTGTTGTTGTTGTTATGTGCCATCGAGTCAGACCCAACTCATAGCGACCCCTCCTTGGGTTTCCTAGGCAGTATCACTACAGAAGTAGATTGCCCCTTCTTCCTTCTGAGGAGTGGCTGGTGGGTTTGAACTGCCATTTTGTTATGTATGTTTACCACAAAAACAAGTCAATGTGATATTTAAACATATATGAACACAGAAGGACAAGTACCACTGTAGATAAACAGGAGAAAAGAACTGAGAAAGGAAAAACGTCAGAGTCGCTGGACTAAATAATATCTTGAGAGAAGTCAAGACAAGATTATAAACTAACCCAAATAATTTCCTACTTTTTTCTGTAAAGCCCTAGATCAGTTTTTCAAAAGCACATTAACAAGTTCTAGAAAATAAATGAGATGCAAAACTTACATGAAGAGAATAAATAGGAAGAAGAGTACACGTGGATAATCATCTACTACAAGTCATTATTCTGAAAACGAATGACAGCATAGAATTTCTGAGCATATTTGAAAAGAGTTTCTGAGCTTCACAAACTCAAGCTGCAGTTTCCTCCAGTAACAATAGTATGATCACACTCCTGTGTCATAGAAGATCTAAGAGAATTACAATGACATCTTGAAAGGCTCTAGTGAAATCTGTTGAAGACACTGGGAATGGAATTCAATTTCTATTCGTTATTCATCATTCTCCATAAATTAAGAAACTAGTGAGACTGATAAACTATTTCAATACCTTCTTTAATAACACACTGAATTGTTATAACAGCATGACAAATTACTGTGGGTGTAAGATCTGCAATGGTTCTTTATTCTCTCCACCATCATTCAGGCAGGGGCAGAAGTAGGGATATAGTTTCTCAAGGAAAGTGCTACTGAAGGTGTAAATGTGGGTCATGGATTTAGCATTGTAAAAGGACACCTGCCCTCCTTCATAATCCAGGTATATGCCCACTTTGTTGAGGTTAGTCGGTTTCAGACTGCAAGAAGGCAAATCCAGAGCTTTTAGATCAGTTTGGTTCCTTAGTCTTAAAAGCCAGAATCCTTGTTCAGGAGTTAGAGGGCAACTGCCCTTTCGAATAATGGATTCTCTGACAACTCCAACTGTCCATTTTGTCTTCTTTGCCACTTCTACTTCCCAGTACCACTTTCCAGATGTGAAGCCTTTTGAGCCCAGCACAGCTACACTTGAGTCAAACCGCTCTGGATCATCGGGCATTACTTGCTTAATGTCACCATGCCACACACTTGTTCGATTTTTAGAGAGCACCAAATTTGGGTGAGCTGTTTTAGGGTCCAGAGTTAATGCAGATAGGCCTAGTACAAAAATAAGAGAAAGCAGGGATGGGAGAAAAGGGTTGAATGTAACTTCCCATAATAAAAGACATATATTTACATAGACACCAGTGTTATATGCCTATATACATACGCTTTTAGATTGTCAGGAGGCAATTACTTATATCCTTTATATTGTTTTTATTAGCTAATTTGTTAAATTTTCGACATTTTATTTTGTGGTAAAAATCAGACTTTACTCTCACGCAAACAATACAGATTGTGTAAATCTGTTCTAATAAATGTAAGAAAATACCGAAGTGGTAAAGATTAGGTAAGATTGTCCTAAGAAAGTGTTCTAAGGATATCTTAACATATATGAGATATATTTGGAATACTTTAGACAAGCAGGCAAAAAGATAATGTAGGAATGAAGGTAAGAGTTTAACTATTAGAGACAGATAAGATTGAGCTAACTGTTAAGATGTTTAGAGAACAGTGGTCTGAGTTTATATTTGGTTTAAAAGATAATTGGACTTGTGCTCACTTTGGCAGCATGTATACTGAAAATTAGAACGATACAGAGAAGATTAGTGTGGCCCCTGCGCAAGGATGGCATACAAATTCATGAAGTGTTCCATATTTTTAGAAAAAGGACAAATTTTCTTAGCAAAGAATATATATATTGTTTTCAAACTGTAAATAATAAAACAATGACAAATCTAAAAAAAAAAATAGATAATGGGACTTGCAGAAACTGTTGAATTAGTAAATCTTTTACTAGTATTAGGGAAAAAAAAGGGAAATTCACTACAAATCCTACAGTCATTATGAAGATAATAAAGGAATATTATTAACAACTTTATGCCAATAATTTTCATAACTTAGATGAAACAAATTCCTTGAAAGACACAAACTACCAAAGCTCACTTAATAAGAAATCTCTATGGAAGTAGATTGCCCAGTCTTCCTTCTGAGGAGTGGCTGGTGGGTTGGAACCGCCAGCCTTCTGGTTAGCAGTCAAAGTGCCTTAGGCATTACACCAACAGAACTTCTTAACAAGAAATGGATAAACTAAATAGCCCTATATCTATTAAAAGAAATTGAATTCATAGTTAAACTCCAGGCCCAGATGGCTTCATTGGTGAATTTTACTAAATATTTAAGAAAGAAATAATACCAATTTTATACAAACTCTCCCAGAAGATATAAGGGGAGGGATTTATTAGGTCAATATTAACCCTGATACAAAACCAGAAAATGATATTACAAGAAAAGAAAACTCCAAATGAATATCCCCTATGAACATAGACACAAAAAATCATCCAAAATGTTAGAGAATCCAACCAAATAGACTATATAAGGAAATTATAAATCAATGCAAAGTGGGATTTATCCTAAGAATGCAAGAGTAGTTTAACATTTTTAAATCGGTGGAAATTCACCATTTTGACACAAAATAAACAAACAAAAACCTGTATGATCATCCTAATATATGCAGGAGAAGCATTTGACAAACTTAAATACCTATTTGTAATATATATACACACACATATATATATATATGTATAGATAGATATATATATGCAGAAAACTAAAACTAGAAGAAATTTTCCCAGTCTGATAAAGGCCATCTATGAAAAGCCTATAGCTAACAGTATACCAAGAACCAAACTCACTGCTGTCCTTTCTCCCCTGTTTGATAGCAAGATTTAGTAACAAGATGTCTATTCTAACCACTTCTACTCAATATAGTACTGGAGGTCCTATTCAGTGGAATAAAGGAAGTAAAAGAAATAAAAGCCTACCCACTAGAAGGGAATAGATAAAACTGTTCTTATTTACATATGATATGATCATCTACGAGGACCTCTGGTGGTGCAGTGGTTGAAGCATTCAGCTGCTAACCAAAAGGTTGGCAGTTTGAACCCGCCAGCCACACTGTGGAAGAAAGATGAACCAGTCTGCTTTCGTATATAGTTATAGCCTTGGAAACCCTTTGAGGCAGTTCTACTCTGTCATATATAGGTCATTGTGAGTCAGAATCAACTTGATGGCAGTGAGTTTGGATTTTTGGTTTGATGATCATCTACATAGAAAAATCCTAAGGAATCTACAAAATAGCTCATACAGTTAGTTAATCTGGAAAGCTATTGGATACAAAGGCCATATACAAAAATTGATTATATTCTAGGGAGTAGCAATGAACAATTGGAAATTAAATTTTTTTTAATATAATTTACAATATTATAAAAAAAATATGAAATACTTAGGGATAAACTTAACAAAAATGTATGTAAGACCTGTACATACAAAACATTGCTGAGATAATTTAATGAACATAAGTCGCTATGAGTCGGGGCCGACTCAACGGCACATAACAACAACAACATAAGTAAATGGAGAAATACCATGTCCATGAATCAGAAGACTCTTAATATTAAGATGTCAGTTCTCTACAAGTTAACCTATAGAATCAATGCAATCCCAATCAAAATGCCAGAAGGATTTTTAACAGAAATTGACAAGCTGATTCAAAACTGTATATAGAAATGCAATGGCCCTAGAATAGCCAAAATAATTATGAAAAAAGAAAAAAAAATTTAGAGGAATCATGCTACCAGATTTCAAGATTTACTATAAAGCTGCAGTAATCAAGACAGTGTGTTATTGGCATAAGAATAGACAGATGAATAGGTCATTGGAACAGAATAGAGAATCCATAGACTCCCAGTTGATTTTTGACAAAAATGCCAACGTATTTCATTTTAATTGGCAAAATTATGATCTTTTAAACAAATAATGTTGGAACGATTAGATACTGTGGTAGTTCAGTTTGTGTGTCAACTTGGCTGGGCCTGGTTGAGTGGCTGGGCGGTTGGATGTAGTATTCCCCATGATGAGACTGGTAATCAACTCCATGGTGGAATCTACTGTGAACAGCTGAGTAGCTGCCTCAGGGAATGCGGTGTGCTTCCTGTATATAAGCAGAAGCCTTGGGGAGTGGTCTCTAGCTTATGGCACACTTGGACTCTGCATGTAGCCATGTCATTGTTCAGCAGCCTGCCAGGATCTGCCGACCTTGGAACTTAAATGGACTTAAATTAATGGCCTGCCCATGTGGTTTGATAACATCAGGACTGTGCCTTTTTATTTGCCGACCTTGGGTTTGTCAACCTCAGCAGCTAACAGCTGTCTGAGTGAAGAAACACCTCTAGTTCCAATGGGCCGGGAGCAGGAGGCGGAGCTTGATCCCAGTGTTGAGGGGCTTTCACCCAGCCCCTAGAGCCTGGCACTTTGAACTTGGACTTAAAGCCTCCAAACTGTAAGAGAATAAACTCTTGTTTGTTAAGGCCATCCCATTTGTGGTATATTCCTGTCAGAGCGGCACTAGGTAACCAGAACAAATACCCATATCCAGAAATTACCTTGATCTTTACCTCATGCCATATATAAAAATTAAATGCAAATGGATTGTAGGCTTAGAGATAAGAGCTATAACAATAAAACTTCCAGAAAAAGTATAAGAAACGAATACTTGAGACCTTGGCTAGGGAAAGATTTTATAGGATATAAAAAGAATCATGAAAGAAAAAATGGTAAATTGTACTCTTTCAAAATTAAAACTTTTTGCTCTTTGAAAAAGCCTGTTAAAGAAAATAAAAAGGCCAGCCACAGACTGAGAGAAAATACTTTTAAAACATATATATTGTAAAGGATTAGATTAGTATCCTTTGTTGTTGTCATTGTTATGTGCCATCGAGTCAGACCTGGATCCGACTCACAGCGACCCCTCCTTGGGTTTCCAAGGCAGTATTACTACAGAAGTAGATTGCCCAACCTTCCTTCTGAGGAGTGGCTGGTGGATTTGAACTGCCAGTCTTCTGGTTAGCAGTCAAGTGCCTTAGGCACTATACTACCAGAGCTCCTAGTATCCTTTACAACATATTAATAGTAGTTTTTTAAAAGCTCAATAAAAAAGATGGGCAAAAGATTGAAGACATGTAACCAAAAAAGATATACGAATGGCAACTAAGCATATGAAAAGATGCTCAACATCATTAGTCATTAAAACCCAAAACCAAACTCACTGCTGTCCAGTTGAATCCAAATCATAGCAACCCCTCCTGGGTTTTCAAGGTGGTATCACTACAGAAGTAGACTGCCCAACCTTCCCTCTGAGAAGTGGCTGGTGAGTTTGAACCTCCAGCCTTCTGGTTAGCAGTCAAATGCCTTAGGCACTACACTACCAGAGCTCCTAATTAGAGAAATAGTACTTCTACTTTATAAAAATAATTTGGTAGTTTCTTATAAAATTAAATATCCACTTAGCACAAAACCCAGTAATCCCATAACTAAATATTTATCCCCCCAAAAAATGAAAACACAAAATTTGTTAACAAATGATCAGGCAACTTTATTCGTAATAGCCTGCAACTATAAACAACCCAGTGTCCATCAGCTGCCAGTGAGCATTTTTGAGAACAATTCCAATTTGCTTAGTTATTCCCCAGTTGACTGACAATGGGTTGTTTATAGTTGTGGGCTATTATGAATAAAGTTTTATTACTCACCAGTAAAAAAAGAATGACTACCAGTCACTGCTCAGAAGGAAGGTTGGGCAATCTACTTCCATAGTGATACCGCCTCAGAAACCCAGGGTGGGTCTCTATGAGTTGGACCTGTCTCTATGGCAGTGTGTTTGGTTTGGTTTATTTATACAGAATTTCAGAAAAGATGTAACTAAATGAAATAAAGCAGATTAGCACTTACTAGGTATTGGCTGCAAAGAGGGCATGAAAGAATTTTGGGGGGTGATAGAAATATTCTATATCTTGATTATGAAGATGTTTACATAAGTTTATACATCTGTCAAAACTCATCAAATTGTACACTTAATATTGGCGAATTTTTAGTGTGTTACACTTCAGTGAAGGAGCACTGGTGGCACACTGGTTAAGTGCTTGGCTACTAATCAAAAGGTTCGTGATTCAAACCCAACAGCCACCCCATGGGAGAAAAATGCTGCAGTCTGCTTCCAACGTGATTACAGCCTTGGAAACCCTATAGGGCAGTTCTACTTTGTCCTATAGGGTCTCTATGAGTTGGACTTGACTTGATGGCAATGAGTTTGGCTTGGTTTTGGACACCTCAGTGTCAATTATTTTGGGGAAAAAGTGTTAGAAAGGATATAGATTTTGAGGTTTTCATTAAATCAGTAGCTGCAAACAATAATAATGGTAATAAATCTATATGAATTCTATAAATAACTTTATTTGAAACTTAATTCTACAAAGATCTTTACTTAAAACTTTAACATTTTTGAAATGCCACTTGTGTTCTTTTGTCCTGCTCAGTCCTTGGGTATTTACAAGAACATGAAAATTTAATGTTCTTATTGTTGTTGTTATGTGCCGTCGAGTCAGCCCTGACTCATAGCGACCCCTCCTTGGGTTTCCGAGGCAGTATCACTAC